ATAATATTATATACTACATCATTCTATTTTACTACAGGCCGTAAACTGCGGGCATTGAGTTGACCCGTAGTCATCGGACCTGATATTTTATTTTATTCACCGGCCGTAAACCCTTGCCAGAGACAAGAGGTCATCGGACCAGGTGAGAAATTATTATTCTAATAAGGCTGTAAAATCCGGGCATTGAATTGACCCTTAGTCATCAGACCTTAATGATATTACCTCTAGTAAAACTATACTAGAATCTATATTCCCGGTAAAGAAGCGACAGAGACCCTCGTACCGGTTGAATTCATCCATTTTACTTATCATCCCAATTAATACGCTACCTATATTACTACATTTATTTCCAATACCATTAACATACGTCCCTCATGATTTCGATTTGCACCCCCCCCCCTCAAGCTTTCAATTTATTTTTCCAACCCATTTTGGCGCCCACTAAGGTCGGCGACCGGGGACATATGTCCCCCCCCCCCCTCCCACCCCGCTCGCTACGCCTCTGGTCGGGAGTTCGGTTGTCAAAAAGTGAAGGAAAAGGATTGGGGTGGACATGGTGAGAGAGAGGTTTATGTGCCGCTCTGCAGCTAATACACTAACTGGATGAGTTCGTCTCTTTCATTACAAATCGTCAAAATAAAAAAAAAATGCGTTTAAAATTGACCCGACCACACATTCCTTAAGAAAACACTTAATGTATTGCCCCGTAGCACGTACATTTGAATTTTTTGTAGGAAGTTGTTTCCCTTTAGTAAGCAAGCTCTCGACACAAAAAAAGCATGTAACATAGCGAGTCTGATAACAGACATGGTTTAAATATAAACTATAATTGGATATACAATTTTTTTTTCAATTGTTATTAATGCAAACTTAAAAAAAACCCGAACAAATAATTGATTTTAAAGACAAAGAAACAGTGTTTAAAGTAGTGTAAAAATGGCATTAACTAATATAATAATGTAGACAGAAAAAAAAGCACTTTAATCATTTTGTCGCGGGGATATAAGATAGTTTGACGAAATATATTAGAAGGATTTCACCTACGCGTTACCAATCATATGTTCTTAGACGCGTGACCTTCTTTTCTAAAAGTGAGTTATTTAAATGTAAACAATGCCTGCGCTTGGATACTAAATATCGTGACACTGGTTTACCTACACTAGCGCTTGAAAACCTTGAGTGTACATTATTTACTCAACGAAATAATATGGTAGAACACACTTATATATATATATATATATATATATATATATATATATATATATATATATATATATATATATATAATGTATATATATATAACACATACAAGTTTCTAGTAAACTTACACGTGTATGAACACTCTCATCTAAAAAAGATTGTTTCCACCCCATTTGGAAAAAAATGGAGTCTTTAAGTTTGAACTGTAAAGTAGTGGTTAAGATTAATTAGTGGCCAGCCAATGGTAAATTTTTTTTATTTTTTTTCAGAATGTGGATATTGCGGAGATATGACAGATGTTTATTTGAATGGGCAACTTTCCTGTGTAAAATTTATAGATTCTTATAAAACGTTCAAGGAGGCCAATGAATATTGCAGTATTAACTTTAAGGGAGGAACAAACAATTCTATATCAGGAAATCTTGTACAAATATTTAATAAAGAAGACTATGACGTCATACTAGGTAATGTTGCATTTATACTCTAGTAAACTAACCTGTATCCTTAGAAAAAAACTGTGGGATTGATTATTATTGATAAATGACGTCAAGTTAGTTTGACGATTTTTATCTTTCCCATCAACATCCCCTCTCCACTCTCTTACGTTGTCAATAAAAGCCCCTTATTCTAAAATGACACATACACAGCATATTTTGTCAAATTAAAAAAATAATGAGTTCGGCTGGTGCTGATCGCGCTATCCCTTTCATATATTGAAGTCACATAAAAAGGTTAACTCTACTTTACTAGCCTCGGATCATGCCAGTCACAAAAGGCATCTTTACCATGCTACTTGAGTTAACGGACGATGCTTCTAGGGTGGAGGAGTGTCTCATCGTTTATGTACTTGCTACAATATTTAGGCCTACGCTAAATTTTGTTTTTGCTCACTTTTATTCATTTTCTGATTACACCCGTACTGCAAAATGCCGTTCTTTTAATTGAATGGAACTTCAACCGGAATTAAATTAACATAATTTAAGTTACTGATACTATACACATTTTGATTACTTTGGCTATTTTTCTTAACGTATTCGTTCCACTACTTGTTTCCTTTTTTCCCTTAACTTCAGTCTCTATTATAACATTTGCTTGCAGACCGTTGCAAAAAACTTGTTCTAGATTCGAAGCATCGTAATCAATTTTTTCTGTATATCATAACAATTCATTTTGAAATTTAATTTTTATTTTTTTATTATATATTCGTTGTTTATAGTGCGTCTGCATGTTAGTTTCTCCGTTATAATAAGTTGGCGTAAAGGAGATAATGATTGATTGGGTAGTGTAGCCTACTTTAATTGTGAATATAATCAACACATAAATATATAATATGTTTGATCTATTTTTATATTTTACAGACTTTTTGCAAACTCGAGACAAATCACGTGGCATTTTTATTGGAAAACCCCATTACAGTGGTCAAATTCATCTTGCTAAACAGTCGATGGTAATTTTCTTTACTAATAACACTTTTAACTATTAATAATTTTAGAGATGAAACATTGTGCTTTACTTTCATACCGGAGACGGTATTATAAATTCAACCAACATAGACTTGTACATCTTCAATTATGTTATAAGTGCGCACGGGGGCCATTATATATTAGGATACTGTATTGTTCCACATTACATATACCTTAATTTTCCTCTCTATAGATTGTTACGGTTCATAAGTACGTTAGGTTAGAATAGGTTAGAATAATCTAGAACTTACGGGACAGGTGTGTGTGTGAGTTGAGTTAACCCCGGGGTGTTAGGTATTGTTATCCCAAGGTCGAGTGCGAGTGTAAAAGCGGTTGTGTACGATTGTAAGTGGCGGAGATTTATCATGGCGGCCAGTAAAATTAACATAGATTAGATAAAGATAAATCAATATTAAAACACATAATTATTACATGAATGGTTGCAACTATTTGTAACCATGGTATGTTATTGTTTAGAATTTATCAAAATAACATAATTTTCAAATTCACGTTTAACTTATTAGTAACAATATCTTCACACTAAAGCAAATTCTAACTCAAAACATTAGTCTAAACCATTTTTCTTCTCATTATTACATCGTTAATCAAGATAACATTTAATACTTAATTCTTCAAAATGAGTCATATCAATTTCGATATTAATTCCATTATACGTTCTAGATTGACACAACAAACAGAGACGAAGCAATTATTCCAGACGTATGTACACATTACTTCTTCCTTACCGCACTAACTTTCTTTCAGCTAAACATTATAAAATTCATGAAGTGGCTTATTGCGGTAAACAATAAATGATGTACACAAAGCTTTTATATTTTCTTGCGCGCTTTCCATGAACTGAACATTGTTTTGTATTCCCTTTCGGTTGATAGAAACAAATAACAGAGTTGTTATTTCATTTTCTTTCTCTGTCTATTAAAAAATAATATGTGATGTAAAACAGACGGCAAATTAACATGTAGATGCTACGTTTGTTCTAATTCAATCAATCAATAACAGTTCTTAATAACATTGATTTAAAAAAATAATTCTGAATTAACAAAATATGAAATTCACGCTTAACACCTGTATAAATGTATGTTCAAGCTAAAACTTAATCATATTCTAATTCAAATCATTCTTTTAAAATGTATCAGTTATCGATAGCAATTCCTTTTACATTATAAAATAACTCTATTGGTTTATTTTTTGTTTACCCAGGCTCCACATTTTCTTCGCACAACACCTTTCAATCCAGTTCAATTAGGCGACGTATGTATATATTATTTCTACCTTAATATGTAAGCGTGTCTTATTAAGTTTTTAATGCAATGTTTATCTTTCTTTAATCTTAACCTCATGAAGTTCATGGTGGTATTTATTGCACAATAGTGGTTTACACAAAACGCTTAGATTCTCTCAAGGACTTTCAATCCCCTTACGATTGTCAGCAAAGTAAAATAAAGCGAGTAATTTTTTTTTGTTTTATTTTAACTATAAAAAATAAGTATTTGATGTGAAAACAATGCAATATAAAATATAGAATCTAAAATTTTGTATGAAATCAGTCAATAAGAAATCTAAATATTTGCTCTGATTAATTTTTAACTAAATCCAAACCATCGCAGAACTAGAAAATAAAAAAAGGCCCACACACAAAATATGTGCTTGCCCGCCTCTCTCTCTCTCTCTCTCTCTCTCTCTCTCTCTCTCTCTCTATATATATATATATATATATATATATATATATATATATATATATATATATATATATATATATATATATATATATATAGATATATAGATATATAGATATATATATATATATAGATATAGATATATATAGATATATAGTTAAATTGACATTAATTATACACTTTTAGTGCATATATATAATAGTTCAAGTACGGGACTAGGGTTAGTGATTGAAGTTAGCTTAGGGTTTGGGTTCAGGGGTGAAACTACCATCAAGCTAGAAAGCGGGGGGAGGGGCAGCACTTGAAACAAAACGTCAGCAAAAAAAAAGATAATTGTATACAATTAAACCACACATTATTAAAAATCGGTATGCCTGTTAATAAAAATCTAAATATATTTTATGGTTAACTGAAATACGGGCGTTGTTTATTTTGCTGTGCCAGTGTAAGAACTTCCTAAGTTCATTTCACCAATTGAGTCTTTACACTCCTGTAAAGTTGACCATTATTTTAATATTGTCAAATACTGAAACACTTGTTTTTTTGTTTGTTTGTTTGTTTGTTTTTTTGTGTTTTTTTTTTCATGCTATGTTTTAATTTAAAAAAAAAACGCACATAAACTTTCGTTTCATTCTGTGAAATGCGACATGTAATATATCTTTACATCCTTATTTTCGAGTCAATCATACCACCGTTTGCTGGGCGTAAACGAGCAGTGCGTGATGATGGCGCTGTTATCATCAAAGAGACCAGTATGGATGTTGTGGACCCATCAACCAAAGCGAAGTTTGTCTGTGAAGCTTCACCACGTGAGATACTTAAACAATAATTACCCGCATGTTTTATTACATTTTACTTTCTCGTAAATGAAGTATAGAAGACGTACTTTAGTCGCACACATAACTGTTTTACATATTCCAAACCGTCCCTATATTGTGTATATTGATTAGTGTTAAACATTTTGGTTTTATCAAAATATCATTAACAAAAATATTTTTCAGACTCTGAGTTTAAAACTATTCACCTAGATCTTAGTAAAATTGTAAGTAAAAGTAAATGCATGTTAATAAAGAATATATCTGTATTTTAAAGCGTATATAATATTATTGGAAGAATTCAATGTTTGTATCTGCAAAATTCAGAACATAATTTAAGCACAAATCTGCTTACAAATACATTTAGTATTTTAAGATACAAGAGACCTATATAGCTTGTTTCTTTAAATATGTGTTTTGGAAAACAATGGTAATGCAATTTTCGTCTCTGACTCCAATATATATATATATATATATATATATATATATATATATATATATATATATATATATATATATATATATATATATATATATACATATATATATATATATATATACATGAATTATACAGAGCTATGGCATATTCAAGAACCAATTAAATGCTTCACTAGTGGTTGAAGAGACCTTGGACAAGATCTACTCTACTCTTACAACTGTTGTAAAGGATATTATACCTGGTGATCTGAAACTCATCATCGATTTTCTAGAAATGGTCTCGTTAGCAGTTAACTCTACAGTTATCACTATAGATGAACATTTACTGAAGGTTGAGTTTCAGTTTTCTATTTTACTTAAAGCCATTTATATGGGAGTTTTTATATGTGTTCGTGATTTCGTTTACCACGCATTTAATGTAATTAGAGATGATAAATATTAACTCAAATATGACAAAAATGTGTACGTGATGGCATTATTGGTACAAACTTAAATGGCATAAGTTAAGCGAGGATGAGTCACTATGTAGGCCTATGTAAACTCTAAAATATTTCATATTTCACAAACAAATTTAAACATGTATTTATTTTATATCGTTTTTGCTTAGATTTTACTTTTATAAAAGAAAACATAGTAAAGGATTAATCCGTAAAATAAAATAATTTTACATTGATTTAGAAACGCAAAGTTAATATAAGAGAAAATGACACCAATTTAGTTGAGTCATAATTTTATAATTTTATAATTTAAAAAAAAATACTTCATTTAAATGTATTTAAAAAAAAAACTCGCTATCAGAAAATAACATCAGTGGTAGACTTGACCATACAAATAGAAGGACATGTCTGGCATCAGTTAAATAAGAGAGGGGAGCAGGCGGCGACTAGACTGGTTAACTACATGGAAAATATCGTCGTTAAATCTTCTGCAAACATTACAGTCATAATACAGGACACGCTAGGTAAAGATATGTTCAAGTTTCAATGCTTACTATTTTTTTTTTCTAAATATAGATGTTAAGCCCGACCATTCTCCTCGTCAAAAAGTTAAAATCTTTTCGCTACCCGCCCCCTCCCCTCCTTTTTTCATGACATATGGCATTACTGCTTCACGTAACTTAACATTTCGATTAAAGTATGTCTCTAACATGTGTTTAAATGAGTGTCTTCATGTTAGAGTGTAACTTTATATGTTATTCTATCTTCTATTAATATGACATTTACATCGATGTCTGTTAAAAAAAATTAAATGTGTTTCTGTTCTTTAGCAATAATAATTAACCAATCAAAAGCTGACATACATTTCCCAATGATCCTTGGAGTCGAAGAATTCTACAATATATCATTGAAAACAAACAACAGTTTGTATTTGTCACACAATGCGAGCCAAACATTCGGTGGTTATATTTACTTTTACAACATTTTAATTTTGATATCGTGCTTTTATAATTTTTTTTTTTTTTTACTTTTAAAATCATTAATTTACACAAAACTGTTGTATTACTCAAGTAATTGTCAATCAATAAAAAACTAATATTTTTAAGTTACGTTTAACGTTTCATTAATTAAAAATGTTTGATTGTTATGCTTCAGGCGCACTCAATTACTCTATCATTATGTACGACGGGTTAAAATCCAAGCTGATGGTAAATCAAGAAAAACAAAATAGGTAAACTAAAAACACATGTCTACACACAAACACACACACACACACACACATATTTATATATATATATATATATATATATATATATATATATATATATATATATATTCGTTACAATCTCGCTAACAGGCACAACAAAGAACTCGCTAAGAAAACTTTAGTATCTGATATCGTCGCATTTTCTGTTCGTGGTTTTGATGGAGAACTTCATACCCCGCTCAGGGTTTCATTCTACACTAATTCTGTAAGACATTACTTGCAGCTTTTTGATGTAATATAATAAAAATGGTAATGTAATCATTGTTTTAACAAATATTATAAATTGTTTTATTACAACCCAGACCAATTACAGAAACCCAGTTTGTGCTTTCTTGGACTTTTCAGCTGAGTAAGTGCTCATACTTTTTAGCAATCTTCTATTCTAGTCAAAATTTCTCAAACTATAGTAGGCAAGGAAACTGCTTTTTTGTATTTTTTTTTTTTGAACATTACAATGTGTGCTCAGGGAGAGCGGTGTGTGGTCGTCTGAAGGGTGTCACGTGTTGTATTACGACCAGGACTATGTCACGTGTGAGTGCAGCCATACGACAAACTTCGCTGTTCTTATGAGTCCCTACATTGACCAGGTACGTTATATTTAACAAAGGTGTGTTGTGTAAGCACACAGTATGATCAGATATCAATTTATCTAACATAAAGAAAAATGCCATCTGTTTTGTTTTTGTTATGAAATACTTTGAAAAAATTGCAACTATCTTTATATTTAGTCTTTATTTTTAGTGACTGTTTTTTCTTTTTTTTTTGTTACGTTTGAACATTTTGCTTTTTTTTTTAAACTATTTTATAAAAGTTGTTTCCAAATAGAAGCTAACATTCAAATCTCTATTCTTAGCATACAGATAACTACATAATAAACACAATCTCCATCATATGTGTATCTGTATCTATAATATGTCTGCTGGCTACCGTCCTGGTCTATGCCGTTCTATGGAGGTAGGTTAAGTAGATAAGGAATCATGTATGTATATGCCATACGTATAAACATATATTTGAAATTATTTTGTGCTAAGAAAATGTTTTCAAAAAGTTACGTATGTTAAGTTATTGTTTATCTTTAATAATAAGGCTTTTAGAAATATATAGTATCAAATGAATAAATATTTTGTTATGACTAAAAAAAAATCGAAAGACATTATAAATGTTATCTTACAACTCTATGCTATGGTAAGTAGTATTTGTTTCTAATCTTATTCAATTATTAATTGGTAATTGAAAAAGTTTTACATACACCTGTAGATATGTAAAATCTGACCGAGCTGTCCTTTATGTCAACCTTTCTGTGACCTTGACATTTGGCTATGTCGTATTTTTAGCGGGAATAAACCAGACACAAAACAAGGTAAATCATTGCAGCTTGAAATATCTCAGTTAAACACAGCCTGATTATATATATATATATATATATAAATATATATATATATATATATATATATATATATATATATATATATATATATATATATATATATATATTATATATATATATATATATATATATATATATATATATATATATATATATATATATATATATATATATATATATATATATATATATTTATATATATATATATATATATATATATATATATATATATATATATATATATATATATATATATATATATATATATATATATATATATAAATTATTTACGCACATTTAGATTTTAATAATATAAAGGATATAACAGATAATAATATAAACGTTAGTTTCCCTTGTTGAAACTGAAGTAAGATTTTAAATTGTTATAACTTTTACTCTAATCAACCCGTTTGGATTAGGTCATGTGCACGGTCATTGCTGCGGTCCTTCACTTCCTGTTTCTTGTTGTGTTTTTCTCCATGCTGGGTCAAGGTCTCAATGTCCTCCTGTCAGTCATTAGTATGACGTCACGTCCGCTCTTGCGCTACTTACTTCCGTTGTCTTATGGTAAAATGTCTTGTGATAATCTTTATACTAACATTCATTGCATGATTTTAGTTTTCATTATTATTTTTTTATGGTAGGCCTATTTAGAAATCAACTTAATATAATTAACCAGCATACAAAAATAGTTAAATATTATCAACGTGCAATATATTTATTAGATGAGTGTATAATAGATATTCACATTAAAGGCTTAGAAAGTGAGAAAATATATTCTTAGGTGGATGTTTTGTTGTGTAACTATAATTACACTTTTAACACATAACAGAACATAGACCAATGCTTTCTTTAGATGCATGCGTCTAATTACCTGTTGCAAATTGTGTTTGTATTTGTAGAAATGCATTATATATGTCGAAAATAACGCTAAACGTTATATCTTTTAATATAACAATTTGATTAATCCAACATTACAGGTGGACCTTTGCTTATTGTGGTCATAACTATTGCAGTGACAAAAGCTCATGGATACACTACTGACACATAGTAAACTCATATTTGTAACGTATTTATCACAATGTTTTTAAAAAATAATCATATATTGTGTAGTGCATTTCCATTGTATATTAAACATGTTTATACATCAAATCTAACCCGGTCATTTCAGTTGCTGGCTTTCCATTGAGTCTGGTGTCTTTTGGTCTTTTTCAGTCCCAGCGCTAAGTATTATTTTAGTAAGGCAATAACTGTTAAAAATTAAATAAATACGTTTTTTTCTTCTTCTTTGGTTAATTTAATATATTAGTAACTATTTAAATGCGTAATATTATTCCGATAATTTATTAATTGACGTTTTTCAAATAAAAATTAAATTACTTTTATAAGTAAAAATGTTAATTATTTTAAAACTTTTTTTTAAATGTACTGTTTTTTATCCATCGTTATGTTGACTTTTTACATATATTGTGTCTTATATTCCTAAAAGTGTGCATTCCGTTACAGCTAAATTTCATCATTGTGTTTGTTGTCCTTAAAGTCATGCAGACTTCACATTTCATGTCCAACAAACCACTTGTGGCTAGAACTAAGTAAGTGTAACAATGAGATGTTATACAACACTATTACCTACACGCAGTCTTTAAAATAATACATAACATCTGTATAGTGCGATACTTTGAGTTATTATTAGTTTTCCCATTTTAAAAATATTACAAGCATAGTAACATGAATGTACATCAATGATAGGTCAGTCGTCCGGTCCATCTGTATCTTGTCCCCAATCCTCGGCCTGTCCTGGGTGTTTGGTGTCTTGTCCATGACAGACCCCCACGTGATCTTCCAGTACCTGTTTGCTCTCACTAACTCACTGCAGGTTGGTGCTGTTTTTATATTTTTATTTAATTGTGTATTTAAAAGTTGGTGTTGTTTTCTTATTTATATGCCTTTACAATTGTAGCAGATCACTGAATGCTGTTTTATTTTATTTTATAATTTAAATTTTTATTTCCTGTAATTGTCTTCTAAAGTTACGTTCATACTTGAAATATTATTGAATATATAAGGGATACATAAACAATAATTTATTTATATTTTGTTCGGCATTTTAAAAATATAACCTTGTTTTTAAAAGGTATATCCAACATTAAATCTTTGTGATTGTATACATTCTTTGAAAGCAATTAAAGATTTACCAGTCTAACAGTCTAACATGAGTCATAGTATTCGATGACAAATACAATTTGAGCAAAGAAAATAAAAGTAAAAAAGTAGGCATCTAACACAATCGAAGTTTATTTGTATACGACTGTTATTCTGAAGATTTCTTTTTCTTTTCTATAAAATAAAAATATATTTTTGCTTCAATTTTCCAGGGTTTATTAATTTTCATTTGCCAGTGTTTGCTTCAACAGCAGGTAGGTGATTGATTTTATCTAGAGGGAACAATTGATCTGAATAGACAGTATATTGGGTATATCACCTTGGTTCACTATATAAATATGCGTTATTTTGTTGGTCACCAACATGTATCACTTAATATAAAACATCGCTGTATTGATAACTATCCCTTAAAGCTGATCCAGCTATACAAACTTAAGACTCTGTTCTATACACTCATAAGTATCTAGACGTAGGTTAACAAGTAAAGTATGTTTCCAATATAAATTTAATTGTTTTACTGACGATTGTATTTAAACAGGTTCGAGATGGCGCGCGGGCATTTATACGTAGGTACAGAGCGGACAAACTGGACTCGGGACATACGACTGGTCAAATGTTATAGTCACTGGTATGTTTAGTATAGGCCATTCTGGTCAAATGTTATAGTCACTGGTATGTTTAGTATAGGCCATTCTGGTCAAATGTTATAGTCACTGGTATGTTTAGTACAGGCCATTCTGGTCATATGTTATAGTCACTGGTATGTTTAGTATAGGCCATTCTGGTCAAATGTTATAGTCACTGGTATGTTTAGTATATGCCATAATGGTCTAATGTTATAGTCACTGGTATGTTTAGTATAGACCATACTGGTCAAATGTTATAGTCACTGGTATGTTTAGTATAGGCCATTCTGGTCAAATGTTATAGTCACTGGTATGTTTAGTATAGGCCATTCTGGTCAAATGTTATAGTCACTGGTATGTTTAGTATAGGCCATTCTGGTCAAATGTTATAGTCACTGGTATGTTTAGTATAGGCCATTCTGGTCAAATGTTATAGTCACTGGTATGTTTAGTATAGGCCATTCTGGTCAAATGTTATAGTCACTGGTATGTTTAGTATAGGCCATACTCACTGTGGTGGCTTAGATTTAGATAGTTTCAAAATGTTCTCAATGCTATAATGTTAATTCGATAAATAATGATTCAGTACACTTTAGTACCATTAACGGAGTGGCATGAGCGATTGAAGTCATTAGAGTGTCCAGCTGTGATGCGTTACTAACTTATGTTAATGTTAGGGAAAGTAAAGGCGGCTGAACAAAGTGCTGACCACACCTTCACTTTATGAGCCGATGTCAGGAAACTCTATTTCATCTACCAAATGTAACGCTATGTCTAAATAGGACGCTTTACTTTGTTTACACTTTAACTACACATCTGAGGTAACTTATGAATAATTACAATTGTCTATATAAGACACGCAAATGTATAAAACTATTGCGCTATAGTGCCTGACAGTAACATAAAATACGCGTAAATTTACGAACTCGTGTTTGGTAGAGTATGTGAATAACCTTATTGAGTAAGAATGTTACACTCACATCATTGTAATACACCTATGCCAATGACAATTTAGAATTAAAAATTTAATTTGAACAATATATTTAATGTATTTATTGTTGTTTTTTTTGCAGAATTTATTATCCTTTTAAAACTATTACACTAAATAAGTACGACTTAATATTACTTACTTATACTTACTTTTTTACTTATTTCAGACTATACCTTTTCGGAAATTGAACATATAAATGGACATATCTTAGCAAATATGATTTACTGACCAAATAGAGAAACGTATTTATGGGACAAGTAATGCCGCCTTAGAATAATCTCACGATTGATTGCTTACACTAACACCACATTGTGTCCATTATATAGAGGCATTAATACGTTAGGCTAAATTTAAGATTTGAGAAGGACAATAATGTATTAATGGTATAATTATAACCTGAAGCTATATGAAGTTTCGCTAAAATATTGGCCACCATTGAAGGTGTTTTGAATATGTTGCTACGTCGTGAAAAAAATACTTAACCGTATTGGTTCGATTCTTGTTTAAATTAATATTCTAAAGCAAATATAGTAACACTTAGGTTTTAATACCTTCAATTATTTTTTTTTAGAAAAAAACTTATTACTTAGTTTGCACAGCATACTTTCCTTATAATTCTTTTTTACACGGTATGTTTTCTTACATTTAAAATACTTTAGCACTATTTTATATTGCCTTAATTTTATGTTTGAATATTTAATGATAATATATTTTACTGGTTATAAATGTTGTATACTCTATTTTTTTTATATTTTAACATTAGCAATAAAAAAATATTGTTTGATCAAATTTTTTCTAATATTCATTTTTTTAGTATTGCCAGTTTACATACATTAATACGTTGTTAGTCAATATATCACATCTGTACAATTGTATTTCTTATTTACTTATAATACTAGTGTGTTTGTTAGCGTCACTGCTTGATTTGCATTTGCAATTCCATGATTATAATGTCAACAATGTTGTATCGCTATGTTCATTTTAATTTTATTTTTACTTGTGCTTCATATTGACTTTACATCTACTACACTGCATAACGACCTGCATTTATTTCAAGTTCACTGCAAAAACGTCAAAACATAGCTTAAAATCTGGTATTTTTTGCCGTATTTTATCTGACCAGCTAGTTTTTTCCAAATCTTTAGTTGGGATATAGAGAGTTACTTCCTAATATCGCAGCTAACATCCAGTAGTCTCTGATGAATGTGTTTTGTTTACATCGTTGTATGAATTTCTTGTATTCACATCGTTGTCTTGGATACTATTTATTTGATTGATTTTATGTTCGGAGTGGTCGAGCGGGTAAGTTCATGGTTGCTAACCCAAAAGTCCCGAGTTCGAACACTCATTAAATTCAGTAGAGATAACTCCGTATACAAACAGATGTTGAATCCTCTAGGTGATATGTTTACCAACTCTGGTCTCCATTCGACAGCTCTTGCGACAATGTTGATTCCATGCTGTACAGGTAACGTCTTGTCCCCTGTGTCAATCAGCTGTGTGGAGATAGGAAGTCTGACACTAGGGAAAACAGCAGACTCTTCTTATCTACCACACATCCTTGAACTTCCAATGCGAAATCATCCTAAGGTCTATGAGACCAACGAGATATATATGCATATGTGTATGTGTGTTTCTTTTCATTGCTTTCTGTTTACTGTAATTGTGTTATTGCATTATTAACTACATTAAAGCAAAATATAATAGTCTTCATGTTAGTGGTAGTTTTGTTTTAGCTTTGTCCACACATTCATAATGTCTGCCACTATATGTAAATAATCTTTGTTTTACTTCAGTGTATATTTATTTAAAGATCTGCATATACAAATCAGTAAACGTAAACGTCTTTCGTGTACTTTTACATTGTATACGATGCAACAATGATACAAAAACTATATTAAGAAAATAATCAAAAGTATTGTTTATCCATAACGGGCGGATTAAATTCATTTGAAAATAACAATTTTACAATCAATTATAGGTTATGCGACATAATGCATTCTTTTCAATGCGTTTCTTGCAATCGACTTAAATCAGGGGTCGGCAACCTGCGGCTCGCGAGCCGCATGCGGCTCTTTTGATGTTAAGATGCGGCTCTTCGGCTCCATGTACAAATATTAATAATTATTTTTTTTTTTTTTTCAGAACTCATAAAATATTGTTCTGCAACACTCGATAATAAATTAGATAATCATAAACATAAACATTCGCTATTCTATTAGGGGGTCATCCATAAATGACGTCACGCTTTTTTTGACGATTTTTACCTCCCACCCCCTCCCCTCCGTCACACTTCGTCACAAAAAGCCAGACCCCCCTCCCTAAAATGACGTCACACCTCAACCTACAACCCCCCTCAAAATTGCAGTTGAATTTTTTTAAAACATTGATATTTTTCCAAAATCTTGTCTAAACTATTACAATTTATTAAAACAGTTATCTAAAACGCGAAATAACGTCTAAAATTCGTTTTCTAACATTGCTTTTTTTATAATGCAAAAATGTGACGTCGCAACATCTGACCCCCCCCCCCCCCCCTCATCACACATCGTCACAAAATTACGGACCCCCCCTCCCCCCTACGAGTGACGTCATTTATGGATGACCCCTAGAGTATTTAGGTACTCCCTATTTTCAATGTACTTCCTATTAATCTTCCTATCAAACTGTTCATCCCGAATTGAAACATTCAACTTGATGGATATCACAAAGAAAATAATCGAGTTAAATGTAAAACTGCAAGTAAAGGAAAACTCATCCTATTCTTTTGTATATATATATATATATATATATATATATATATATATATATATATATATATATATATATATATATATATATATATATATAACCTAATGTTGAAAAAAAAAATGTAGGTGGCTTTTTAAAAACTGGTAAATTTTGTAAATTGCATCTTTTGGCTCTTCCGTCTCAAAAGGTTGCCGACCCCTGACTTAAATATATGAACAGGGGTGTTGTAATATTAGATGCAACACAAATATGTCAGACCAATATAGGTTATCATTTGTTCAAGTCGGTATAAACCAATAAGTAGCTAGAATTGTAATATACACAATAAGTAGCAAGTATTATAAGATACACAATGAGTATCTACTATTATGAACTAGTATTGTAAGATAATAAATCAGCCCTTGTCGGGCAGGAGCTAGTCAAATTAGAAGTTAGCTGGGGCAGCATCCTATCTAGGGGAGAAAACCCCAAAATTAAACTTTGCTACATTGTATATTTCACTTGAATGGACACAGTCTATAGAAACAAATCCAGGCTGAAGTTAAAGTCATCTGGTCATAAGGAGCATAAAATGTTGAACCATAATTTGATGGAGGAAATCAACGTTAATTATACAGTCCAGAGAGAAGAAAACATCGATTGTGTTTCCACTTTGTATTTATGATATGCAAGAATTATTATTGCAAGAACAAACATCATCTAGAACATTGTTTAAATTGATTTTATTAGTACCAAAGGTTCTTTTTTTTTGTTTATTCAAACACGTGTATACTTACAATACAAACATAAATACACATTTATTTACTACGCCTATAGAGTATTTCTAATCCAATAATATAAAACTACTCCCATTTATTGTTGCAGAAGAGCAGTTACAGTATAACACTGCAACTATAATATACCACGTCTATTCGTTCATTATTGCTGTTCCAAAAATATAATAATGCTACAATAGTATAATACTGCTACTATACACAACTTACATCCGATAGACTGCGGAGATATTTTTTTGTTACCAAAAACAACTCTAGAGTGTTGAAACAGACAAATTGCCTTAAACATATAATTTACAGCGTCAGTTTGCCTTGCATGTTCGCTTTAGTATTACAGTTTTCATCATCGGCGTGTGAGGACTGATACAGATTTACAATAGTAATACTTATTTCTTACACGCAGCCTTCTTTCATTCATTTAAGGGGTCGTCCATAAGTGACGTCACATTCGTAGGGGGAGGGGGGTCCGTAATTTTGTGAC